AATATTGCCGTGTAATTTTGCTGAAATATTTGATTAAAATATTATAGAAAAATTCCAACTTAAATGATGCTAAGGATCCTAAGCTGTGTTGAACATGTTAGAAAATAACGATTGATTTCATATTTTAAAAAAGTTTCTAACTTTCTTTGAAATATTTTCTGAATATTGCAGAGTCTTCATTTGTAATATTGCAGGAGTCTTAATGTGTAATATTTCAGCAAAATTTCACGGCAATATTTCTTATAGGCGGACATTTTCCTGTTTTCATCAACATTTCATGAACCTTGCATTGAAATATTTCAAATCTTTCAATGAAATATTCATGAAATGTTTATGAAATATAATCTGATGTGTGGGAAAAAAAGAAATTCCTTAAAAAAATTAAACGATTAACTGAAAAGTTTTTAAAAATTGTACTAAATATTAAACAAATAAAAATTCATGAAACGAATTAAATTAATTGAATAATAAATTGAAAATTGGATGGAATAAATTTAAAAAAAACTATGAAAACTTTTAATAAAGCTAATAAATAGACTTCGAAATATTTATTTTGTCTTACTTTAACAAAGAAATAAATTAATGAATTAATAAAATAAATATAGATTTAATTATTAATGTTACATTGAGAATTTATATCGATGGCTCCTAAATGAAAACACATTATTCGCGAGAGCAAACAAAAAACACCCTTATTTACGAAAAAAAATAGAAAACTCATCTGAAAATTTTGCAACCTAATTTTCTTAACTTTTGCTATGTTTTTATTTTAAGCCAATATCAAATGTCTAAATAAAGTAATTTAAGGATACAACGTTAGTTTGACACAATATAAACGTTTAAATGAATTTAAATTTTAATGAATATAATATATATTGCATTTAACAATCATGCGATTATACGAATATTCTTAATAACACAAAAAATAATCATAGAATATCTTGAAAATTATTACAATCTATATAATAATATTCAAAATGTTTGATCTACTTATAATAAAAATAATTAATTCTAAGAAGAATATTTGAATAAATGAAATTTTGAAAAACAATAATTTTAAATAAAAGTATTTTATAGTTCATTTTTAGGACAGAATTCTTGTAAATAAAAGCAAGTGCGTTGATAGATCAGTTGGTTAGGCATTAGGTTTAGTTTGCGTTAGGTCGCGGTTTCGATTCCCCTTGCGTGCGTGAGATAATTTAACTTTAAGATAAGTATTGTAAATAATCATACTGAATTAAATATATGCATTTCCGTGATTAAATTCCGAAAACAGCTCATTTTTTACTAATGAAATATTTTTGAACACTATTTTTTTAGCTATTTAATCAATGAGATGGTTGATTATCTGATAAAAAAAGTTACCAGAGCACATTTTCAAAATGTTAATCAGCACGTGTAATTTTTTTACTGAAATTGTTTAAATAATCATTAAACGTATCTACATAGACGCAGTTTCAATTTTTATTTTAGTAAAAAACATTTTCTGTACTTTAATGGATCGGACCGCGGGTGGGCGATATCGCCAGCAATGGCGCGTACATTGCGCTGCTTATGTGCCAGCACGTCGGTCCGATCAATCGGACTGAGGTCCGGCACACGGCCTGCTATTATGCAGGCATTTTGTTATCTGGGTTGGGAAAGCAAGCACAAAAGTTCGCTTTCAACCTCATATGAAAGCAATTTAATTGTTTACTTTAAGGAACTGAGTGCAAAACTGGAACTCTCCACATTGTGGAGTATATGGTCGATGTTAAAAAAAACCTTAAATGCGAGACACACTATCGACATTGGTACATTTCAAAACCTAAAAAGTCTCATGAAAAGAATTCCAAGGGATATAAGCCGAAAAAGTCTGCGGTGTTAAAATGGCAAGAAATAATGGATTTCTTGAACAATGCAGCAGACTTTGTTTATTTAGCGGCAAAGGTTTTTATAAACATTTATTTTAATTTAATTTATTTACTTTATTTTACATAATTTATTGAATTTAATTAACCCTGGCGGATTGGGAAAACCGAGTTGTAACCGAATTGGGTTACGATTCGGTTACGTTTCGGTTCATTGTGAAATATTATCGTTAATCGACGAAATATATAGTAAATAACTATTGGGAATGGTTAATATACATTTAGAGTGCTTATTTATGCAATAATAATAATAAATTAAGATATAATTAATTAATAATAAGTGTTTTAAGTGTACAGTGCATACAGTTGTTGAATTACCATATATATATGTATATTACCATCAGCGGCAGCTGTGATACGCGCGTGAAACTCTAGATGGCGTTAAGGATGTCTTTGTGAATGAATTTCTAAAATAAAGCCCTTGAGTGTCAAATGTGTAAGTGAATATATAAGTTTTAAAAAATAGATCAATTTATTAAAACAACTTTTATGATTTGTACAAATATAAAAATAAAATTTTTATAACGCACAAAAATTTTTTTAATCAGAAAAAGTTTTTTTTGTGTCAAAATTAATCTTCCTTATTTTTCTTTTTTTGAATAAATTTTTTTTGAATTTTTAAATAAAAAAATTTTTTTTCTCAATAAAATGAAAAAGATTAATTTTGACACAAAAAAAACTTTTTCTCATTAAAAAAATTTTTGTTCGTTATAAAAATTTTATTTTTATATTTGTACAAATCAAAAAAGTTGTTTTAATAAATTGATCTATTTTTTAAAAACTTATATATGGGCGATTCCACGTGAGATTTATAGTCGAGGTTTAAAATTCTAGTAAATATACTTTTTCCTTATTCTTTATGAAAAAAAGTGACACCTATTTTTTTTTTTATGGTCAAATTTTTGAGTTACGAATTTTCAAAATTTTGTTCAGTCAAAAGCAGACCTATTTTCAATTAAGAATGTTTGCGCAGAACTGAACCGTATTCAATTAAACAAATATAAAAAAATTTTATCTATCAAAAGCATCTGTGTACAATTAAACTGTATAGAGTTGAACGTTTTATTATTTTTGAAATTCACTTGTGTAGAGTTGAACGGTGCACAATTTAGCCATATCCATTTAAACTGTATCGAAATAAACATTAAAAAAATTTAATCTCACTGTGTAGAATTGAAATGTGCTAAGTTTAACGTATCGAGTTGCCTTGTATAGAACTAAATTTGGTAGAACTGATACCGCTCCAATTTTTACATATCACAATATTCGAAAAGAATTGTTTTTCAAATATTGTCACAAAAACACATATAATAATAAGCACAAAAGGTAAAAAAAAGTTGTAATTATTTTTAAAATATAATAGGTATTTTAAAAAAACATTTTGAATCTACAGTATAGAACGGTTAATCGGATAAATGATAAAATCAACGAATTTTCGATTTTTAAGTAATAATTTAAGTGTTTATTTATATAAAACAGACTTATACAAAATTAAAACTCTTAAAGGAATGTAAAATACAAAATTACGTCAATTTATCGTATCAAATAATTAAAAATAAATACTTAAATAATTACTTTATAAATCGAAAATTCGTTGATTTTATCATTTATCCGATTAACCGTTCTATACTGTAGATTCAAAATGATTTTTTAAAATACCTATTATATTTTAAAAATAATTATAACTTTTTTTTACCTTTTGTGCTTATTATTATATGTGTTTTTGTGACAATATTTGAAAAACAATTCTTTTCGAATATTGTGATATGTAAAAATTGAATAAAACAAAAATCCATTAATCTAACTATTTAATTAATCGTATAAACAATTGAAATGTTTAAATATGTTTATATTTAAAGTTTTAACAAATCCGTTTTGTAATAAACTCATGTAACAAGTTAAAAAATTTAAAATGCCTCTTAAAGAAAATTTCTTTTCAAACTAGATAGACTCACAAAGCACCGCGCGCGCATTAAGTTTGCAATCCGAGTTTAAATATTTATTTAAACTTATTAAACTTATCAGGCCCACTCTGAAACCTTTTCTAAAGTCTTCTTAACACTTCTAGGTAGGTATACGAAAAAAAAATCGGGCACAAATGTAAAAAACATTAATTTGTTTATAAAAAATTAATATTTTTTTTATAAAAATTCAAAATTTTTTTTTCTTGTTTCAATTATTTAAAAGTCGTGAAAAAACTAAACTTTTTTTCTGTTAGCAAAATTTTTCTAAAGTTAATAGTTTTAAAGAAACATGTGATTGAAAATAAGTCTACTTTTGAAAATCTAAAATTTCAAAAATTCATAGTGAGAAAATTTGGCCATAAAAAAAATACTTATCTTTTTTTTCAATAAAGAATGAAGAAAAAATGTTTTTGTCCGAATTAAAAATTTGATTGTAAATTTGATCCGGAATCGCCCATATTCACTTACACATTTGACACTCAAGGGCTTAATTTTAGAAATTCATTCACAAAGTCATCCTTAACGCCATCTAGAGTATTTCGTCGATTAACGATAATAAAAGTTAGGGAAATGTCCAGGAAATTGAAAAATCGATTCTAGTGGGAACCCTGAATTGAATGTCTTTTACTTTAGAGAATTCATTGAGAAATTTTAGAGATCCAAAACATTTTGAAACATCATTCCCCGCGGTGCGGGAATGTCGAAATTTTTGCCCGTGTAATGCATACTATTTTTCTTTATATCCGGTCGAAAGTACGCACAACAATTGACTAATTAAAAACATTTCAATTTTGTATTCCAATTGACAGGCGCCCATCATTACTTTTGCTCCTCGCTTCAACGCCTCTATCGGACACTCTCGAAGCTCTGACTTTTTCTCTGTCTTTCTCTTTTTTCGATCGAGACAATATGTGAATAGGGAAATAAATAGCTACACATTTTTGAAAAGAAATAGTCAATTTTTGCAATATTTTATTTATTTCTTATACCATAAATACCATGAATTTATTAATTGTATTAATTATTTTTAAAATCTGTTTATAAGTACAAATTATTTATAATATTTTTATGAAATATACAATTTATGTATTTGTTACATAAATTTTTGTTTACATCTAACTTGAGATCATGTTGAATATTCTCTTCGATATTCAGTGATTCTATAGAAATCGTGAACATTTTCCACTGAGTTCAAGGATCCTGAAGTTTGCTCATTGGTATTAATTCCCTCTTCTCGGATTTTTCTTTTCTTTAGTGGTGGTTCTTTTTGATTTTCGGTGAAAGGAACTTTAATCGGTGATTTTGACATGAAATGTGTAGGTACTTTTGACTGAATACACGGGACATTCAATTTTTCATTTTTGGCAGTTTTAAATTCAGATCTCGATGCTTTGGCAGTTTCTTTTAAAAGATTTAACTCATCAATTTCACACAGCTCCTCCTCGGTTACATCAAAGTCATCGAATAGATGATTCACATTTGCTACTTCAGGTGTAGGTTCTACGCATTGTTTACTAGTTGATGGATTATTCGTAGAATCGTTATTAGATCTGGCTGCATTTGTTATACCTTGAATAATTAGTTCCCTATTTTTCAAGGAATTTTCGACATAACCTGTAAATATGTTAATTTTTTATTTAATTTATTCAATATATTTAATTAAATTAAAACATAATATAATAAAAAAATATCATTTTAATATCTTATAAAGAATAAAATTTAAACACATTTAAAATTTAATTAATTAAAAATAATACATATAATTTGTAAACTAATTAAATAAATAAATGACCTTCTGCTATACTCGAGGAATTCCATCCGCCTAGTTGCTTCAACATAGTGACGTTTGCGTTCAAATTCGATAGAAAGGTTGCTGAAGACCTTCGAAAGCAATGCCCGGTATACGTTTTTTCATTCGGTAATTTCAAAAAGGTCCTAGTCGAAAATCCTACGCTATGTTAAGCTGAACAAAAAGTTGTTTTGAAGTATTGAGATAACCATTAGAGAATTGTGAGACAGTAGATAACTAGCTATAGAAAACTTTCAGGAAGCCTGTTATGGCCGATTTTTCGCTTCCACGGAAAGCTTGAAAATAACAAATTTTGTACGTTTTAAACAAAGCATTCAAGTAGCTTTGAGAGAGTTATCAAATAGTTGCAGGATTTTGCATATATAAAAAGAAAGCGTTCAGGTGGCGAAAATTAAATGAAGCGTCATGGATGTTTCAGGAAACAGCGAAAAATGACAATGATCAAAAATTAAATTTAACCTTTCTTTCCATCTTTATTTATCTCGTAAAAATATTGTTGTCAACCAAAATTTGTAAATAAAAATACGCTGATAAATTCATTTTCATAAATTATGAAATTCTAAAAGAATAAAGAATATATTATTTATAAAAAATATTAATAAATATCAAGTATAAAAATAATAATCTTTTTTTTTAAATATTAAATATTTTGTCTTTTTTTTAAGAAATTGTATTCATTATTCAATATAAAAAGTTTTCACCGTGTTCGTATTCCTAACCCCAAATTTTGCTCAAGTTATATATAATTTTTTTCGTATATAATTTAAGTGTTTAAAAATAAACGTTTTTTTTGAAAAATAATTTTTATATAATATATAAAGAATAATTATTAATTGTATAAAACGGATTTACAAATTACTATATAGAATTTTTATGATTTTTCGATATAGTTTAATTTAATGAAATTATTCTAGTTTTCAGAAAGTGTAAAAAAGGTAATTAAATTACATATTAATTTGCAACTTGTGAAAAGCAAATAGAATTGCTTTCTTACACATTAAACCAGGCATTAGGAAAGCATTCACCAAGCAAACTGGTAGACCTTTTGCTAGAAGCTGTCCACAGATATTCAACAAGCTGTAGAAAAAGCTTCCCGTTAAGAAGTCAGAAAGCAAATATCACAGAATTTTAGGTCTAATGTATAAATAGTTGCCATGAAGCTTTTGAAACCTTCATAACAGTTACCTGAAGGCCATGTGAACCCTTCAGGGAAACTTACGATTTTCGACTGGGGTAGCAATTTTCTGAGGTATTTCGCCCATTTTGTTTCTCCCAATTACTTGACGGCAACATCTTCCTTTTTGATACTGAATGAAAAATCTGTCGGTGAATGCTTCCTGTGGTCTCAGTGAAGTGTACTGCTGTACTTTTCCATAAAACATCTCTCCAATTATGAATTGTCGAGGTTTATCATTTTTTGTTTCATTAATGGAAACTAGATACTTATTTCCAAGATCTTCAACATCACTTATTTTCAAATTTGTGATTTCATCACAACGCATAGCTCCACAGATGCTGAAAATAAGGATAACCTAAAATAAATATAAACACAATAAATATAAAAAAATATTTTATAAAAGTAAATTCCCTGGCGGATTGGAAAAACCGAGTTGTAACCGAATTGGGTTACGATTCGGTTACGTTTCGGTTCATTGTGAAATATTATTATTTATTATGAATTTTAACAAAAATAAAATGATATATATATAAAAAGAACATTTCTAAATTTATTTTATTAATATTCTACTTTATAAAATTTTGTTACAATTTTTATAAATCTTAAATTTTTTTTCATTTTACATTTCATTCAATTATAAAATTTTCCAGGACAAAAAACTTTTTACCAAGACGTTTTCCTGATTTTCTTGACATCTCACTGACATCCCTGCTACTTCCCTGACTTGTAGCAACCCTGTTTATTTTTTTTCGGGCATACATAAAAAACAAAAAATTTAATGAAAAAATCAATTTTTAATTTCACAATTTATTATTAATGTATGTGCCATTTAAATAAATTAATTAATTAATAAAAAAGCAAAATTTTAAAATTTTGTTATTACCTATTCGACCATAATACAGAATAAATTAGAAAAATTGTAAAACTAATTTTTAGGTTACTCACAGGAATTACAAGAAAACGTTATTTTATAATTACGAGTTTTGAAAAACCAGTTATTTTACAATATTTCTACAAATGCTTCATGCAATTAGTAAACTATTTCATTTATTTTTATACACAAAACATGAAAAATAGACCTGAATGTAGAAAAAAAGCCAGAACGCATACATATTGAATTTCATAAAAATTTATTACATTTATAAGCCCTGATTCTGCACTCCTTTAATGAACCATTCAATATTTACTACTACAATAATTAACTTTCAAATATATTTTAAAAAGATTAAAAATATACAAATTTTGATCAGAATATATATTGTTTCTAACATAACCTATCATCTCAAAACCATGCTTAATCATTGAGCACACGGCACACACACATTGTGGGCCCCTCACTTACATTAATATTACAACACTCGGCCATCCTGCCTAAAGCTTGTCGTTTCATACAATTTTACGTATTCTTACGTGTAGATGACAAGAAAATAGCACGCAAAATAGCAAGTTGATGATTATAACGATGTCAAAAAAACTGCCCAGATAGCACGTAAGCTTGCCGCGCAATATTAACAACCTTAAACGGCAAACTTGCTGCAAGCTTACTGCAAACTTCAAATGCCTATCTGACCCACGCTTGCATGGTAAGCTTAGCAAAAGATTGCAGTGTAAGGTTACTGCAACATTGTACAATATAATTTTCACAAGATTTCTCTGTAAACTTGCACGGTAAGCTTGTAGAAAATGTGCTTTAAACCTTAAATGTTTCGTCAAATTTATATAATCTTATTATATTCCCGAGGCGTAATTTGAATCCTCTTTACCCACATAGCACGATTTCTTGTTGTGAGATTACTGTAAGGATATCTGTAGGGTTTGTAAGGTTACTGTGTAAGCCTGCAGTAAACTTGAGGTCATCTTAAAACTTCCGCCTTACAGTAAGCTTACACAGTAAAGCTAAGGTAAGCTTACACAGTAAGGTCATGGTAAGTTTACATGGTAAGGTTGTGGTAAGCTTACACGGTAAGGTAGTTGTAAGCTTCCTTTAAGGTTACTGTAAGGTTGATGTAAGGTTACTGTTAATGGGTCAATCCATTATATTTCGACTGAAGTGGTCGCTGACTAATTTTTAAAAATTATAATACTTTGCAGGAATGATTTTGAAGTTATCAAGATCACGAAATGAAAAGAATTTTATTAAAATTTTAATTATTTATTGCAAAATATGACTTTAAAGTATATGAGGTGCTGAAAACTGTCAATTTTTTAGCCATTAGAAAATATGCAAAAATACGTAGAATTTACCATAAAAATAAAAAATTTTTTTTGTAATTTACTAAGAATGAATAAATTTATCATTATCAATTGATGTAATTATTTAAATATGTGAAATAATATATAAAATATGATTTTCAAGTTCGCCTGTCAAATAACCTAAATTTGCAAATTTTATCTATTAAATGTGAGAAAGAGAAGTCATTAAATTGAAAAAAACCTTACCAAATATAAAGTACCTGTGACTAACTTTTAGTTTTTCTTAGCACTTTTTTCCTTTTTTCTTCATAAATGTGAAATAAAAAGCAATAAAAATTGGCACTTTGCTTATTTTCACTATTTTCAAATGTAAATAACTTTCTTGGAGAAAACTGAAAAATTACAAAACTTGGGCAATATCTAATTGATCACTAAATACACACACTGGAAAAAAATTCGCTTTGGTCCCGAAGATACTTTTTGAGATAATTAAGTTTAAATTTTTCACAATTTTTATGAGGTTAATGCATGTGATTTTTATAAAATTGAAGTTAGTTCAAAATATTTAACCAAAAAAACCTAAATTCGTCCTTAAAAAACTACATGTATTAACCTGATAAAAATTGTGAAAAGTTTAAACTTAATTATCTCAAAAAGTATCTTCGGGACCAAAGCGAATTTTTTTCCAATGTGTGTATTTAGTGATCAATTACATATTGCCCAAGTTTTGTAATTTTTCAGTTTTCTCCAAGAAAGTTATTTACATTTGAAAATAGTGAAAATAAGCAAAGTGCCAATTTTTATTGCTTTTTATTTCACATTTATGAAGAAAAAAGGAAAAAAGTGCTAAGAAAAACTAAAAGTTAGTCACAGGTACTTTATATTTGGTAAGGTTTTTTTCAATTTAATGACTTCTCTTTCTCACATTTAATAGATGAAATTTGCAAATTTAGGTTATTTGACGGGCGAACTTGAAAATCATATTTTATATATTATTTCACATATTTAAATAATTACATCAATTGATAATGATAAATTTATTCATTCTTAGTAAATTACAAAAAATTTTTTTTATTTTTATGGTAAATTCTACGTATTTTTGCATATTTTCTAATGGCTAAAAAATTGACAGTTTTCAGCACCTCATATACTTTAAAGTCATATTTTGCAATAAATAATTAAAATTTTATTAAAATTCTTTTCATTTCGTGATCTTGATAACTTCAAAATCTTTCCTGCAAAGTATTATAATTTTTAAAAATTAGTCAGCGACCACTTCATTCGAAATATAATGGATTGACCCTAATATAAAGTAATATGAAAATATATTAAAAATAATAATATTATAATATATATTATATTATAAATTTTTTTGTATAAAAAATTATATATTTGGTAAAGTACTTTATGAACCCCAATAGGGCCAATAGGGTTTGTCAAATAAAAGTTACTGCGCAGCCGTATGTGCCATAGAAAACTACTGCGCATAAATATTAATAAATTTTATGTATTAACAACATTCTATGTTTACAGTAACCTTACATCAACCTTACAGTAACCTTAAAGGAAGCTTACAACTACCTTACCGTGTAAGCTTACCACAACCTTACCATGTAAACTTACCACGACCTTACTGTGTAAGCTTACCTTAGCTTTACTGTGTAAGCTTACTGTAAGGCGGAAGTTTTAAAATGACCTCAAGTTTACTGCAGTCTTACACAGTAACCTTACAAACCCTACAGATATCCTTACAGTAACCTCACAGCAAGAAGTCGTGCTATGTGGGTAGCTACCCTTAGAACCTAAATAGGACCACTTTTGGATCTTGTAGACACCCGTAGACACTTCTTTAAATCCAAACGTGGAAGAAAGGGAAATTTGCGACTGGTTGAGGAAGCTATAGAGGGTCTAGTTCGATTAAAAAAATACTTTTTTAATTATTTTGATTAAAGCAAAATGAATTTTTATTTCACACAATTTTTCTTTAATTACCCTTTAAAAACTGGAATTAACATATTTTGAATCATTTTCAAAAAATTAATAGAATTACAGAAATTTCAAAATTTTTAATATTTTAATCAATTTTTAGACCCTACTTTGAATCCAAACATGGAAGAAAGGGAAATTTGCGACTAGTTGAGGAAGCTAAAGAGGGTCTGTTTAACCCTACTTTACTCCTTGTAAAGTAGGCCTTAAATTTCGCCTCGGGTAAATTGTATTACATAAATTAGACAAAACATTTTTTAAAAAAAGTTTTCAGGTTTAAAGCAAGTTTATTTGGCAATCTTGCACCAACCTTGCTATAAGACTTTCGTGCAAGCTTACTGAGCACTCTTCCGAGAATCTTATTGTGTATTTTTGCAGTAACCTCACAGGAAAAAAAGTCTTACTCCGAGCATAGTCTAATTTTTAATTTTGATTAGAAAGTAGTTGATAACTAATATCAATCACAAATAATGGTTTAAAAATAAGCCGTTAAGGTCTTAATGAAAAAGAAGATATTAATATGACAAATATTTAGTTCTATTAGATTCAAATCAAGCCTTTGTCGTCTTGGACTCAATACAAAATTTTATTCGCTAGAAATGAGACGTTAAAAGTCTTCAATCAACCCCATGAGGTCTAGATACCAGTGAGTTATAATTAGACGTACAACGAAAGTGCCCGAGTGTAAAGTAAAGCCTTTCCAAAAATGTGACGCGTCTATAGTTAATCGGAACTAAATGAATTAATTGAAAAGACTCACATCTTCATTCCTGAATAAAAAATTTAAAAACTATGTTTATAAAACATTTTCATATCATGAATTGTTTGGGTCCTATAAACTCAGCTTTAATTGTTATTAGTGTGAGGGGTGTTACATACAACATAATTTTATTACAATTTTCTCACAAATATAAAAATGTATAAATTATATACAAAAATTAATTGGTCTCTTTATGTTTTATATATACAGTATGATTTATATCAATAAAATGTTGCTTGATGTTTCAAAACTTGTGTAAAATTTCAATAATATGGTGTTGACAGGTTTCATAAAAGTTATGTTAGCTAATTTTTATACCGCGCAGTGGCTTGATTTAAACCCAGGTTCGGGCTTGTGGCTACTTTCTATTTCGAAAGGCAGCTTATTGTTAGCCCCTACAGTAGGCTTAAATTAAGACTTATGCTATGAGTGAGTTAGAAACTATATTCGGTTTAGTTTGTGTCCCATATTGAAACTAGCTTCTTTTCGGGTTTGAAACAAAACTTATTTATCCTGTGCTTACACTGCAATCTTTCGTTAAAATTACCAGGCAAGGGTCAGGTGGGACATTTGAAGACTGCAGTAAGCTGCAAGCTGTGATAATTTTCAAAAAAAGGATATTGACCCCAAAAAAAAGAAGAAAATTAAATGTGAATAAAGGGCTTCAAATTTATACAATTTTACGTATTTTGACGTGGCATTTTGCCACACACAATAATTAATTATTATTTAATTTATCACCCCATCAAAATGGGAATCTTCCTTTTCCGAAAATAAATAAAATAAAAAAATTAGACAAAATAAATAATTATTTGAATGTAATAATACAATTAAAGTAAAATAATAGACTAAACCTGCCAACTCGTCGAATCACTCTCGCATTATTTTGATAAATAAAACTTGTATACTCGCGTTCCAAAAAAAAATTGTTTTCATGTTATCCAAATCCGTGGTTGCTCATTTGTTACGAAGTCAGCAAGGGAAGTACTTCCTGGTGCATATATTTGGATGAGATTCCTGAATATTCAAGAGCACCAGGAAGCCGAAATAATATTGATTGTTTTGATCCTGTCATAATAATGGGGGCAACCATTTTGGAATAGAGGACACCACTACGCCCTCTGGTAGAGTTGCGATCTACCTTACAAGCGACATCGATGAAAGTTATCGACGCGTGATATATCGATTATCGACAAATAGAAAGTAATTAATTAGTTTCACTGGGACTCACCACCAAAAAGAAAGCGTGAAAGGTGACGCCGACTAAAGTAAAAGTTCAGCCATTTAATTTATTCTCGTTTTGATGGTGATCAAGGCAGCACGCCAAAGATTTTAAAGAAAAAAATAAATATTAAAAAAAAAAAGTTGATTGACCATGTCTGGACGAGGCGCAATGCGGGGACGGCGTCGCATCAACGGTGAGTCCCAGTGATTATCTAATTATTAATAATAAATAAAAATAGGCAAAAATGTTATAAATGGCGCCCAACGTGGGGCCCGAGAAAAATACATTAATTTTAAAGCAAACATCATTTTTAAAAAATAAGTGAAATAAATTATTGAAGTTTTGTGGTGAGAACTCGTGTTTTATTACGCACGACCATATAGTACAATAAATACAGGATAATAATCATTTCAGTGAGTCAAGGTCGCACACATAAAGAAACACGATTTCTCATAACATCAAGGTTTACTACCATTATCGAGAATCAAAATTACGACAGTAAAATTCGGTGAAAAATAAAATTGATTTTTATTTGCATAAAAATCAGTTTCATTTATTATAAATAATTTTAAGAGGGAATTGGCTGAGTCATCGCCGCCTTCTATTGAATTGAAGTTATTGAATTAAAATAATTGAATTGTGTATTCAGTTCTTGATTGCGAAAAAAAAATATTTCAATTGTCTCTTCTCAAAATTTTTTTTTAGCAAGTGATAAAAAAAAATAAATAAAATTTTTTTTTGTCTATAATTAAATAAGGAGAGGATATTCTCCCTGATAGAAACAAAATAGTAATTTCTTAAATAACAAAATTATTTTTTTTATTGTGTCAAAATTAATAATAATTGACTTTACTATTTCCTGTCATTATTCCTCCAATAGACATTGAACCGTGATTATTTTTTTTGTACAAAATCTTTTTCTTGACTATATTGTTGACAACAATTTTTCATTTTTTTATACAACATTTTTTTCTGTAATTAAGGACTGATAGTGCACTTGTTTATTTTGTTTGGTTGTCCTTACTCTGACAGTTCGCTATTTTTCCATTGATCCGGTTCCTATTTAAATAAAAAGTAAAAGTCCAAAATAAAATTTAAAAATGTCGGAAATTGAAAATTGGTTTGAAAACCCTTTTGTTGATTGGCCCTTGCCAAATCTGAAAATTCACCTGGCTTCGCATAAGGTTAATACTGTTGGTTCACTAGAGGTCCTTCGCGATCGTGCCTATCGCTATCTTAAATTTTCACAAGGCGATAGACAAATAAAATGGACCCCAACGGATGAATTACAAATCGCCTCATACGTATCTGATTCAGAATCAGTTGTAGATTCACGCGAAGAAAACCCTTCTACAATGGGAAAAATATCGAATACTCCCACATCAGAAATGTCAATACCTTTTTCGAGTACAGTATATTGTACACAAAATTCGAATATCCCTACTATCACAACTAGTAGTTCGACTTATTCATTTGTAACAGTGGGAAATACATTAGCGAATACGGTCTATTACCCTAGAAAGAGTTATACGAATGAGTTTAATAATAATTCGGGTCGTAGTACTCCCTTACGTGAAAAATTTGAAACTCATAAACCAGGTAAACTGTCAGCGACTATTCAAAAGTCAAATCAGGAATTTTCATTACCCGCTAACTATGAGAATTTATCAATTCCAGCTAGTAAGCCTTTAATAGATTTCGATAAAGAAATTTTCGGTCATAATTCTTATGGTTTTGAGTCAACAGAGCAAAATGATTGTCTATTGACACCTAATCGACCGGAACTTGAAAAAACGGTAGCTAGAAAAATTAATGAGAATACATCAGCATTTAAACCAACAAATAACGATAGTTTTAATCGAATAGATACTAGGAAAGACTGTTTTAACCCGAAAACTAAAGAAATTCGAAAAAAAGATCATAATAATAAATTGTTTTCGGAAAAACATAAATTAAGTCAACCTTCGGTTAATTCTAGAAAGCCATTAGATACAATTGTTCGAAAATGGGGTATTAAATTTTTTGGCGATAAAACCTCGAGCGTTGAGGATTTCTTATCACGAGTAGAGGATGCCATGGAAATCTCATTACTTCCGGGTGAAGATGTTCTTCGGGCAGCACCGTTGCTCTTAGATGGAATTGCGCTCCAATGGTTTAGGTTAAATAAAAATAACTGGTCCTCATGGGACCAATTCAAAGGGGCGTGTCGAGCTAATTTCGGGGATAAAAATTATCAGTGGAGACTTGAAGAACAAGTTCTAAATCGAGTGCAAGGTCCGGATGAGTTCACTACAAATTATATCATTAGTATGCAAGGACTCTATTCTAAATTCACTCGGCCTGTCTCATTAATTGAAGCATTAGATAGAATATACTTTAATCTCCGCCCTGAAATGGAACGTTCAATAAGTAGGCGCGAATTTAATACCGTAAATGAATTATCTGTTATAGCTGCCGAAGTTGAGTGAATGTTAGAGTCGCTTAAAATCGAAAGAACTCCGGTGAAGCCGGAAAATTCATTTTTTACAGAATTCGCTTATTCGGGAAATTTTGAATCTAAATCAACTTCAGTTTCGGAGAATAAAGAATCGGTAGTAGTAATGGAAAAGATGACTAAAGTTTTAGATATTTTAGTTAATAAATTAAATTCAAGTTCCGCGAATAAAAAAGAAGCGAAAGTTTCAGATAATACAAAAAATGCGGATGTTAAGAAAGAAAATAGCGATAAGCCTTTTGCAAATAAATCAAATCCAAATAATTCGCAAAGTAAAAAGTCTTCGGAGGTAAAGAAAAAGTTCCGTGAACCTAATCCTGAGCCTCCTTGCTTTAATTGTGGTAAGGATGATCATGCGTGGAGGAAATGCCCAGTAGAGTGGGAAAGATTCTGCCACATATGCGGAGAAAAAGGTGCTACGAAGTATAAATGTGAATCGGCTTACTGTAAGGAAAACTAAAGAAGGAGATCAACCATAGGGTCGATTTACAGACCCTTGCCAACAAAATAACAAATCACTCGGATAAGACTAAAATAACCGCGATTAACGAGGCTCGTGAAAATAACATAGTAGAATCTAGTTCGAAGTTAGAAAATCTAGTTATTAAAAATTTGGATAACAAATTAACGAACCTGATTAGTGCATCGATCATTACGGATCATAAATCGAATAAAGTTTTTGAGCAACCTACTAATTGTAAAATTGAATCGGTTGATACTATTCCGCATAATATTAATAGTCCTGACTTAGCATGTCATAGCGGACAAGAGGGAAAGGAACTTAATCAGATAAACCGATTGTCAGGGTAGATTTTAGTCAAGTCGAATCGAATAATGAGGATTTGTGTGCAGGATTAGTTGAGTTAACAAATGAAGAAAGAAAACATCTCGAAAGTCTTCTTAAAAACATTATTCCTCCGTTTCCAGAAAAACTACCTCCTGCTAAACTTGTAGAGCATGTAATAAATACCGGTGATAGTGCCCCAATTCGTCAGAAAAATTATCGAATGTCGCCTAAGGTATGCGAAGAGTTCATTAAATTAGTTAAAGAACTCATAAAAATAGGAGTTCTAGAAGCATCAAATAATGATTGGTGTAATGCGGTTGTAATAGTTCGTAAGCCGGATGGTACCTACCGCCTCTGCATTGATTTCAGGAAAGTTAACGCGGTAACAGTTAAAGACTCATATGCGTTACCTTTCATGGCAGAGATTTTGGATAAACTTAGCTCAGCTAAATATATTTCCAAATTGGATTTGAAATTAGGATACCATCAAATACCGTTAAGCGAGGAAAGTAGGGCAAAAACTGCTTTCTTCGTTCCGGGATTAGGCCTAATGCAGTATAAAAGAATGCCTTTTGGTCTCTGCGGTGCACCGTCCACCTTCCAAAGGCTAATTTATAAAATAATAACTCTTGATATGAAACCTTTTGTATTCGCATACTTAGATGACTTAATAATCGCTACTGAAACATATGAGGAACATCTGATATGGCTCGAACGAGTTATAAATAAAATATCTGAATCAGGCCTTACTCTTAATCCAGATAAATGTAACTTTTGTGTACCTGAGGCAAAATACTTAGGATTTGTAGTAAATCATAAAGGCTTATCAGTCGATAATGAAAAGGTTCGTCCCATATTAGATTATCCTCTACCGAAAACGTTACGTCAACTTCGTCGATTCATTGGAATTACCTCGTGGTATAGAAGGTTCATTAAAAATTATGCACAAATTTGCGATCCGTTAACGCGTTTAACGAAGAAGAATCAACTGTTTAAATGGACAGACGAGCAAGAGGACGCGTTTAATGAATTAAAAAAGATCTTAGCTCCTCCCCCTATTATGGGATATCCGGATTTTAAAATCCCTTTTTGCATTCAGACAGGTGCTAGTAATTTCGGGATAGGAGCCGTAGTCACTCAAATTCAAGATGGCCAAGAGCGTGTAATCGCTTATGCCAGTCGCATTCTTTCTGATGCGGAGCGTAATTACTCTACAACTGAAAAAGAGTGCCTGGCAGTCATCTGGGCAATTAAAAAATTCCGATTCTATTTGGAAGGTTAACCGACCATAGTAGTCTAAGATGGTTAAAAAATCTTAAAAATCCGACCGGACGATTGGCCCGCTGGTCACTCGAGTTATTAGAGTATGACTTTGAGATATTACATAGGAAAGGATCGATGCATGATATCCCTGACGCGCTTTCTCGAATGTATGAGGATTCGGAAGAAAATAAAGTCGCGGCTATGGAAGCTATTGACGATGAATGGTATAATAGACGTCGCGAATCGGTAATTAATGAACCACACAAATACCACGGGTGGAAAGTAATAAATGGTAGGTTATATCATTACCGAAATAATCCTCTGCTCGAAGACCTCATGGATGACCTTAATGCATGGAAATTGGTAGTTCCTAAGGAAGACCAACTTTTGATTATGCGGGAGGCACATGAAAATCCTCAGGCAGGGCATTCAGGTGGTCAAAAGACCTATGATAGAATTGCGATAAGATATTTCTGGCCGGGGATGTTCAAAGATGTAGGAAAATTCGTACGTACTTGCATTACTTGTCAATTAAATAAAACTGAACAATCAAAACCGCGTGGTATAATGGGGCAAAGAATAGTACAAGAACCCTGGAATGTTGTAGCGATGGATATAATGGGTCCGTTCCCCAAGAGTACACGAGATTTCGAATATTTAATTGTTTTTCAAGACCTATTCACGAAGTGGATAGGAGTAGCACCGCTTCGTACTGCAAATGCTACCACTGTGAAAAATTCATTTCGTGAATTGGTAATAAATCGCTGGGGTACACCGCATGTATTGCATTCGGACAGTGGTACCGAATATCATAATAATGCTATTAAAAGCCTAACTATGGCTTATCAAATACATCATTCATTTAATCCCTTATACCACCCACAGGCGAACCCTGTTGAGAGAACCAATAGGGTTCTCAAAACAATGATTCGGTCATTTATCGGCGAAAATCATAGGAACTGGGATATCTTTGTTGGTGATTTTCGTTTCGCTTACAACACGGCGCTGCATAGTACTAATCGCGTTACGCCGGCGTTCCTAAACCTTGGCCGAGAGCCAGTCCCAGTGCGGTCTATGCGTCGTCTTGTAGAGGGGGAAAACGAGCCAGTCGCTGATGTCGCAGAATGGACAACTCGAATGACCAGACTTAATGACTTACGAGAGAAAATCTGTCAAAATTAGGATCAAGCATTCCTTAAACAAGCGAAATATTATAATTGTAGGCGTCGGGATCTACAGTTCAAAATAGGCGATTTAGTTAAGAAACCTCTACACGTGTTGTCCCGTAGGCAAGATAGGTTTGCTAGTAAATTAGCTCCAGCTTTTCATGGTCCGTTTATGATAGTAAAAGTAGTCTCGCCAAACGTATATGAATTGTCCTCGACAGAAGGCCGGTTAGCTGGAAGGTATCGAAATATTTTGGTCTGATCCTGAACCGGAAATAGAGAATACTTATCCGGAAAATGATCCAGAAGTAGTAAGAAGTCCTGATAGATCAGACGAACCCTATCAGCGCAGAAAATTGCGCAATCGTTCGTTTTCGTATTAAGTGGAGTGAAATTAGCGACCTGTCAGAGGGGACCATGAGTTAATCCCAGAGAGGATTATAAAATAAATAATTAAGAGGGAGAGAGTTATCTTAAAATTTGACCTTCTAAAACCAAATCTTGTTGAAATTAGAAAAACTCATAAATGGAGTCTGTAAATAATTTTGTAAATAAATCTATAACTAAATTAACTGTTAATCATCTTAAAAAAACCACTTTTGACCGTTATTTATCTTAATACAATAGAATTGGAAAAACTGGGTCAGATTTTTGCTCTAGATTATGTTGAGATTTTAATCCAGTCTGATCCGGTAAAGATGCTGCATGGACCAACTAAATTAATTGGTCCATGACCTCTAATAATTATTAAGATAATTAGACGAATTTTGTTTTGGCATAAATTGAAAATTTTAAGTTAACCTTTCTGGATGACTCATGGAAGTTCCATAGTTATAGATGATAAGTGTTAATTTGGTCCTTTTGACAGCTAAAGTAATTCGCCAAGTTTTTGGTGGAGACGAGAATAAGGAGGTAGAATGCCTGGTGGTAGCCAGAAGCTTGTGGCTCAGGGGAAGGGCCCCTTCGGAAGCTTCCGACTTTACGGAGGAAGATTTGAACCAAATGATTCGGCGAATGGCCAATTCTCCATCACAGCTATTGTCCCTACAGGAGGAGGGTCTTCTTCCTAGGCCCGAAAGTCCCCAACAGGCGGAACAGCCTGAACAGGTGGAACAGCCTGTGCAGGCGGAGCATATTGCTCCCACACACGAAGATCGGGAGGTTCGGCAAAGGCAGGTAGCTGCGGCTATTGCCTAAGGAAGGGCCACAGTTATTTTAATTGCCCGACCCGCATTAATAAAAAAAATAATAATAATTAAATACATGTAACATTTTTTTTGTGTCATTCAAACCCTTGTGAGGGAGGGTAAATTACCCCTCACTATTAAAATAATTTTCTTTTATAAACCTCTTGTCTTTTTTTATTCTCGATGATTAAAACGAACCAAAATTTGAATAATAACAAGTAATACTAGTGAAATTAAAATAAAATAAAAATAAATATTTTTTTTTGTGAGAGCTGATCTGGTGAGGGGTGGCTCCGAGATCTGGGGCTTACCTGCTCGACCCCATTGGGCCGAGTCTTGGCAGGGGAGAGTTGTGACGTGGCATTTTGCCACACACAATAATTAATTATTATTTAATTTATCACCCCATCAAAATGGGAATCTTCCTTTTCCTAAAATAAATAAAATAAAAAAATTAGACAAAATAAATAATTATTTGAATGTAATAATACAATTAAAGTAAAATAATAGACTAAACCTGCCAACTCGTCGAATCACTCTCGCATTATTTTGATAAATAAAACTTGTATACTCGCGTTCCAAAAAAAAATTGTTTTCATGTTATCCAAATCCGTGGTTGCTCATTTGTTACGAAGTCAGCAAGGGAAGTACTTCCTGGTGCATATATTTGGATGAGATTCCTGAATATTCAAGAGCACCAGGAAGCCGAAATAATATTGATTGTTTTGATCCTGTCATAATAATGGGGGCAACCATTTTGGAATAGAGGACACCACTACGCCCTCTGGTAGAGTTGCGATCTACCTTACAAGCGACATCGATGAAAGTTATCGACGCGTGATATATCGATTATCGACAAATAGAAAGTAATTAATTAGTTTCACTGGGACTCACCACCAAAAAGAAAGCGTGAAAGGTGACGCCGACTAAAGTAAAAGTTCAGCCATTTAATTTATTCTCGTTTTGATGGTGATCAAGGCAGCACGCCAAAGATTTTAAAGAAAAAAATAAATATTAAAAAAAAAAAGTTGATTGACCATGTCTGGACGAGGCGCAATGCGGGGACGGCGTCGCATCAACGGTGAGTCCCAGTGACTAAATAATTTCCATTTCTCGCCAGATTGGCATAAAATAAAGTATAAATTAAAGTTTTAAAAATAAATTAAGTGATGTTTGCTCACCGCATGGCAAGCGGAGTAATCTTGTAAGTTCGGCCATAGGCCGAATACATTAAGTAAACTTGTGTTATGTCATTTAAAAAAAATAAAGTAATAAAATAATAATAAATTAAATCGAACTTTAATAAATATTAATATTAAAATAAATTCAGTGAATTAATTAATGTGTTTTTCTCCTTACCCTCTCCGCGGTTTGCTAGGAACTTTTCCTAACATTTTTCTGAACTAGTCTGGTAAATATTTGAACTAAATAACTAAATAACTTTTGTATATTTTTTATATAAAATATTCTGTTGCTAATAAATTATTCCCTTATAAAATTAAATTAACTCAAATTAACCTCAAAGTGTAGATAACATTTTTCCAAAATAATTCAATTTAGAATAATTATCATTATCTAATTATTAATAATAAATAAAAATAGGCAAAAATGTTATAGTATATATTCCAAAAAAACGAGCAAGAGTGGAGTTAATGATCATAACATCAAAAAAAATAATTTTCGATAAAAGTAATTTATTTTTCTCCAAAAAACGAAGAAAATTAAATTTGAATAAGGGTTTCAAATTTATACAATTTTACGTAGTTTTACTCGTAGATTATAAAAAATAGCAAGCACAATTGGTATTGACGATCATAACGTTGTCAAAAAAATATAATTTTCCCCATAAAATAAAGAGAATTAAATCTGAATAAAGGGCTTCAAATTTATATATTTTTACGGTATTTTAACATGTAGATTACGTATTTTGACGTGTAGTATATAGGAAAAAGTTAACAAACATGATAGGAAATTGTTTTAATTGAGTTTTTTTCGAAAAATAGAAATTGGATTTTATAACAAATAAGGTCGTTGTGTGTACGGAACCCTCGATTTCATGAGTAGTACGAGTGTAACTCGCATTTGTCTAATTTTTTTTACTGATAGTACCTCTACTGCGCCATCTGTCCCTTCTTTCTGTAAGCGGGCAATCGTTCTTTGATAATAAAAGTTTTAAAAAGAAAATAATAATAATAAACAAGTTGTAAATTCAGATGTTCATTACATGAACATTTTGCTTTCTCTTTACGATCAGCAAAAAAATTTGCTTCCTCGTGGAGAAAGCAAAATTTTATTGCCAAAATGTGAATTATTGATTTTTTAACTTTCATTAATTCTTTAAAATTACCTCAAATGTATACTTTATATATATATCGATCGATTCGTCTTGACGTAAGGAATACAATTTTATTATATATAACCTTAAATTTGTCTATGTAAAAAAATTTTCGATTAACAAAAATTTTTGGAAAAAAGACGATAAAATTTTTTTTTTGGGGTATTTTTCAAAATCCATTGGTTAGATTTGAGATATTAATATGATAAATGAGACTACCAAATTTTATCTAAATCCATTAAAACCGGTTAAAGTTATATTCTAAACAAAAAACACTAATATAGTATTATCCCTCTATATAGGCAGCCTGTTGCGTAAAGTCTATTTTCTATGACAAGCTGGCAGATAATATTGACAATAGTAAGAACATCGAATCCTACCAAACAAATTTTGACTGAATTCCATATTGATTGTAGTTTTTTGATAAAGAGACCTTCTTTCGATAAAAATTTAACAAAAAAATTTTTAAAAAAATTAAAATTTTGTTGATTCAACAAAAAAATTTTGGTTGCTTAAATAGCAACCAAACGTTTGGTTGTCAATACCAAACCCTTTTTCAGTTCATTTTTTTTATTTTAATTGAATTATTAAAAATAAAATAATAATTATTAAAAAATAATTTATTCTTTTAATTTAAAATTTTTTTAATATTGTCTTAATATTGTCTATCATTGCCAATAATTGTTGACAATCCTTGGCCGATCTTTGGCAGCCATATATTGGCCCAAAGCTTGGCTGCTTATCATTAGCAGTAGCGTGATCATTCCACGTTAAAACCAGTGGTAGTCCAATAGTGGTTGCTAATCATTGTCTGAATAATGGCACACGGAAAGAAATTTTCTGTAGAATTTACAGAAACTCCTGCGCCATCTACTGATGGAAATTGTTGTTTCACCAAATAGAGAAATTTGTAGAATCATTGGCATTAAAATCTGTTAATTCTACAAGTTTGAGCTACAGTTCTTAAAAACTGTTGAGTGAACAAATTATGTATACTATATGGGGATAATATATATTTGGTAGAGTATTTCTTATAGGTTATATAGATATATATATAAAATATATATATATAATATATATATTTATATATATAAAATATACTTACGTTTAAATGTCTCAATTAAATGAGACAAGTTCCATTCTTTTAAATGACTTTGAACAAATATGTCCATATTGAAAAACTATTAATCAATATATGTATTATAATTTAAACAAAATATATATAAATACACTTTCCTGCCGACACTATTATAATAATAAAAACACTAAATTCGCCTTAACCTCTTGCACTCAATCGTACTCAGCCTTAGTCGAATCACTGCTTTGTTTTCGCGCATACGTTAAATCCTTACAGAAAATATCTGTAGAATTAACAGATTTAGGAACATGTAAAATCTCCAAATCGATGTTAAAGAATTACCAGAAAATTTTTTTCCGTGCCGGCTGTGTGCCAAGCATGGCCCATTATTGAACCAATCGTTCATTTCCCATGGGGCAGGGTTGCCACACAAATTTCAAAATAATTTTCCCTGACGCCAGCTAATTTTTAGATGGACTTGACAAACCAGGAAAACCACAAATTTGCATAAAATAACCCCAATACTCAAATACCAAAAATTCAATCTCAGAGGAGATTCCACAATTCTCAATTTTCCAACTCAACTTTATTACACTACTCTTTACACATCAATCGATCCACGCTCTAGACGCCACATTGATTATGATTCTTATTTCGATCTCCTTCGTCCTCGTCTAGTTCCAATAATGGCCGCAGTGATAGCGCCACGTCCCGGACTTCTGTTCTGCCTGACCCCCAAATTCCCAGTAGCGCGAAACTCAACCTCAGTCGTAAATTGGATTGTGACGAATTACATCGTCACAACTTATTTGAACCTAATAAATCGTATTTGGTTCAAGTAAATAATGAATTAAATTTAATAAATGAATTTAATTAATACAAATAACACTGTTGTTGTAGGTCTAGTAGTACTAAAAAAGATGGTATATCAGGAATTTCCCAAACACCCCCAAAATTTCATTCATTTGCAAAAATTTTTTTTTGTTTAAAAGGGGAAAAACACACCTTTTTAACCGTGTATTGATTGTTTTGTCAAAATGAAAACTGTTGAGCCTGCAGGTAAAAGAATTTGCGATTTTTTTCCGGTATAGTCAAATTTGACAAAGTTTTTCGGTTATTTTTCGATATCGGAGATTTTTTTGAAAACAATAGTTTGAAGGTACATTTCATTCCGCGTAAAATAAGCTGTTGTGGAATAAAATTGGCCAAAAATTGAAGGAATTGTATGAATTTTCAGATTTGAAAATTTTGCGTTAAATTTTTATGTACTTAGCTGCCCGTGTAGAAATTGAAACATGGTGCAGATCAGGACCAGATCAGGCGAAATATGGCCCTTGTTAGGGAAATGATCAAATGAAACACCTTAACTGAACTGGGCCTGACAATACATTTTGAAATTAAGGGCCAAATAGGGTTTAATTAATTCAGTTAATAACCTCTTTCCTGTCATTAACATCATTAAAAAAGACACGTTTGCATGTATTTTCTAGCTCAGCAATTAATAAAGTGCCGTTCGTGCTAAAAATATTTGAGATATTTTACAACATATTTTACAACATAATCTTTAGGCTCTTAGCTTTAATTTGCATTTTTTAAACTTAAAAAATGTTTTGTGGTTTTTGAAATATGTTAAAAAGGTCCAAGCATGTTTTCCTACAACTCAGCCTTCAATCGTCTTTTTTCGCTGCCTCGCTGCTGGGTTGTAGAAAAACATTCTCGAACATTTAACATTTAACATATTTCAGGAACTACAAAACATTTTTTACTTTTTTAAATTTTAACAGAATCTTTAAGTTTTTAGCATTAATTTGCTTTTTTGAAACTTAAAAAATGTTTTGTAGTTTCTAAAATATGTTAAATGTTCGAGAATGTTTTTCTACAACCCAGCAGCGAGGCAGCGAAAAGTGATGATTTACGGCTGAGTTGTCGTAGGAAAACATGTTCAGACCTTTTTTAACATATTTCAAAAACCACAAAACATTTTTTAAGTTTAAAAAATGCAAATTAAAGCTAAGAGCCTAAAGATTATGTTGTAAAATTGTCCAATTTTTCCATCCATTATTCCACATTATGCCGGGAGTCAAAAAACATTAGTAGGAAATTAGAAAATTTGCCTAATTTTTTCTTAAAAGCTTTTCGGTGTATAAATCCCAAAAAAGTAAAAAAATTTCTTGATATACATTGAGAAGCAGATTTTAGCCGTACCGACAATTTCCGACGATAGTGTAGTTTAAATTTAAGTTTTGTTGTTTATTCAATAGCCTTTCGTTCACTGTTTATTAATAACATGTATTTTAAATGTTTAGTCATCATAACGAAATGAAAATAAGCAAAAAAGCCTAAATCGTCGATTGAGGGCAGAAACACGCCAATTCAGGCGAATGTTGAGAAACATGACAATCTAAAAAATATTAGGGAAACCTGCCATTCCAGTGAAGATTTCAAAAACATGCCATTTCAGATGTCAAATTTTTGTTGATTGTTTTAGGTTGGTAATACTTTCTTGAGAATGTTATATTATAGTTAACAAAATTTTATTCTTGAAATCAATATTAAATATTAAGAAAAGTATAATTATTAATAATAAAATTATTAAAGGTTCTACCGACTTAACCAACAATATTCAA